CGGGTTTTCGCTCACGGGCGAAAACGTTGCCTCCAGGCACACACGGCTTCGCCCCGGGACCGCCCGGCGGGCGGTGGGGGCAAAGCCTTGCGAGAGGCGCTGCGCCGCCGCCCCGGGTGGCCAACGCTTGGGTTGATGCCCCAGCGCCGGGGCTGTTTCCTCACTGTGGTTTCTGATGCTTTTTTGGAACAAGAATTGGGCTGGAACGGGGACTCGCTGCCTCCGCCAGCGCCGAGGCACGCATCTCCACCGAATCCGAAAGCCTCCAGCGGAGGAGAGTATCTTGCAGCTTATTCCCTGGCTAAAAACAAGCTTTGAGGTTCCTCATCTCGACCAGCTCCGGTCAGGAAAAGCGAAAGATGTTGTGCAAAGCAAATTCCTGCTCGCTGCGGTTTGCTGGGCGACGGAGGGGACACTTTTCCCCACGGGAAGGTTTCAAAGAAGAGAGGCTTTGTTGCAGAAGGAACCACCCTTCTGCACATTTCTACACTTTCCCACTGTTCCCCAACTCTCTCCAGCTGGACAGCTTTCATCTCTTACGCTCACGCTCCCCTTTCTCACCCACCCTTCCCCAGCAGAGGAGCCAAACTCGTGTGCCTGTACATCAGCAATTGCACTTTCTTTGATTTTTCTAAGCCCCCGGATAAAACGAGTTGAAGTCCAAACAAAACGAGGGCCTTCTTCCATAAGAAGATCAAAGATTAAAAATAAAAAAAAAAAACTGGAAGAAGTATTTCCCACTGGGGAGAGCTAGCAATGAGCGAGCGTTGGGTTGAAAAACCTTCCCCTCCACCCGCCCCATCTCCTCCTCTCCTACCCAGCCTGACGCCGGCACGGCCGATGTCCTGCGCACGCGGCGTCCCCGTGCTGCTCCCATCACTGCGGGCCCTAGGACTGGCTCCGAGGGCTAAATCCAGCCTTCGCTGTGTTTTAGTACCCTCAGTCTGCTACGAATTACAGAGGATATCGCAGAAGCTCACGACAATTTCCGGCCGATGCACGTCGGCGGGCTGCGCTGGAGACGGCGGGACGGGCTAAGCGACTTTGCTGAGTACCGGCGTGCCGGGATTAAAGCTGCCTGTCGCAGAG